AAAAAAAAAAAAAAGAAGAGGGAGGGAGGGACAGACAGAAGGTGTGTGGAATGTGTGTGTTTCTGTTAAAAAATAATCTCAAATTGGTTTTACAAACAACAGTAACATTTTACAACATAATTCCAAGGGGTTTACTGATTCAGGATTAAAGATTTTTTTACTATATATGCTTTAAAAAAGATATTTGGATATCCACTCGTGATCACAGGCTATGATTTGTCACAGCATTTAAGTCTTGATTTAGGAATACTGTATGCTACCCTGACTGAGAATGCACTCCTGATTTAGGATCTTACATAGTTATCAATCCAGTTCCTCATAAAACTGGTTTACTGGCTTGAAAAAACTGGCCATCACACTGGTAAATACAGAATATATGGAAACATATACAGCTGACGTATGTGGCACCTCCAACATCCTAATCAAAGCTGACAAGACGGCAAATTCAACTCTGAAAAATGTACAGTAAGCCATATAGATGAAGTTTACAGAGAACTTTTGGTCTTTGCTTTTTGTGAGATAAATCACAATTTCGAGCAATAAAAACTGAAAGCCTGAACATAAATTATTCTGAAGCTATCAAAAAATCCTCCTCATGGCAGTGTGTATAAAAAGTACTCATAACAGATGATCATAGCAGGGCCTTCTTCAATCCTAAGTAGTCTTGCCCTGTTCCTACTGTGACAGTAACTTCAAGATTAATATTTCAGTTTTGGATATAGTTTTACCTGTTTCCCATACCAAGGAAAGAACTTTGAACATGACCTTTTCAACACTACCTTTCAAGACACAAAGTATGTGAAAGATCAAAAAAAAGGGGAATCAACAGGAGTAAGAAACTGAAATTCTTCTGGTCTTGCTGCATGGCATCAGTCAGTATTTACCTAACACACTGCTCAACCAAGTAGTATTTCCACGGATCAAAAATTAGGAGCATCAATGGATCGTAGTTCAAACCCTTAAAGTTAACTTCTGAGTATATCACCCTAATTCACTGCCAAAGAGAAACTGACTTTGTACTGGGTCTGGTTGGCCTGAAGTTAATTTTCCTCACAAAAGCCTGCATGGTGCTGTGTTTTGGATTTGGTTCTTAAACTGTTGATGATAACACACTAGAGTTTCAGCTAGTGCTCAAGAGCACTCGTGCAGCCTCAGGGGTTTCTCCGTTTCTCACCCTGACCCCACAGGGAGTAGGCTGGGCATGGGCAAGAGGTTGGGAGGGATACAGAGACAGGACAGCTGAGCCCAGCTGACCAAAGGGATATTCTCTACCATATGATACATTGTGCAATAAAAACTCAAGGAAAGGAGGAGGAAAGAGGGATGTTCATGGTTATGGCATTTGTCTTCCCAAATAACTGTTATGCATGCTGAGGCTCTGCTTTCCAGGAATTGGCTAAAAAACTGGCTGCCAAAGAGTAATGAATAAATCCCTTATTTTTCTTTGTTTCAGTGCACAGTTTTTACTTCACTTAGTAAACTGTCTTCATCTTGACCCATAAGTTTTTCTCCCTTTTGTTCTTCTGATCATCTCCTGCTCCCCACTGTGGGAAAGTAATTGGGCAGCTAGTTAGTGCCTACTGCTGGCTGGGGTCAACCCACCTCAGGATTCCTTTTGGTATTGGTAACACATCAATCAGAAACAAAATACTAACACTCGTTCATGCCTGTCCCAGAATCAGTACGGACCAGAAAGCTAGGCAAAGCTGCCTTGGGTTCATTCTGAATTTGGAGCCTCCAAAACTCCGTAATACAGTGTTCGTACAAGCTCATTTGCCTACAGATGTTTAATTAGCTGATGAGCTTTATTTCCCTCTTTTGCACTTGTAATTTTACCCAGTAATAAAGACCATGGCTGGCACTTCTCATTACCTTTTTCATTTTGGTAACTTTTGCTTTTTCCTTCAGCTACAATTGCAAAATTGATTTTAGCACACTTAATTCCTTTTTTTTTTTTAATTTTATTTTATCCACCTTTGCTTATCCTCTCATTAGTTCTTCTTTTCCCATAGCATCACAGGCTGCAGCTCAGCAGAATGATTACCGTTATATTTTTAAATTTATATTGATATTCTCAAAAGCTCTTTAAAGCTAACAACTTGAGTGGAGCCACTGTTATAGCCCAAAGCCATCATGATACCCAGGTTGATTAAGTCATAAAAAACAACAACGAAGCAATCACCTACAACAGTCATCAATTCCCTTTGATACTACAAAAGCAGAAGAGAACTGCAAGAAATTTGTCAGTTCTAAGGTCACTCCATGTAGTACAACGAGCAACGATTAAAGCATTACTCACAAAGCCACAGCAACCTGCTCCTAAAAGATTTGATGCTTTTATTAGGACTCTCCTTCATTTAATTCCCCTCGCTAATTACTTCAGAAAAAAACATGTTTCACAAAGTTATGCTAAGAGACATCTGTTAGACAACATTCTGAATTGTGAAATAGGAGTTGCAGGAAGCACATAATGTTAGATCTTTGCAGAAGAGAAATGTAGCTTATAAAAAGTTGCAACATTCTTTGATTGGAAAAGCTATTTCTGATGTTACGGCATACAGCTAGTCCAAATGAAAATAAACAGACTAAGACAGAAACACCTACAATTCTAATGCTTCATACACAAAATAATACAGGCAGTCATTACATGGTGATGATTTAATAACTAGGACAAACCAAATACTGCTGCAGGTTAAGAAAACTGTTTCCCTGCACAGCAGGTACTCAAATGTCTACCACTAACTACCTGCTTTTGTGTTTTCTATTCTGTCAATCGCTGTAGTACCTGAATGTCTCACCTACTATATTTTTTGCATTTAAAAAGATAAAATATACCAGACAAAATGTTTGCTCTCAGAGATTCAAAGATTTGAGTGTGTACTTCAACTGCCACCAACTTCACAATTATCACAATAACAGATTTCTATGAATGACCAATCAGAGTACTGTAGACTCTTATGATCATCTCAACAGAAAGTAAAACCAACTCTCAAAGAATTCGGCAAATGGTAATAGCAGTATTAGCAATTGCCTACATACCAAGAAATTGAAATGACTGAGGCTCCTCTTCAGTTGCAAAACTAGATATGAAGAGCCAAATAAGCCTTGCAAGAGCTTCAGTCATATTCCAGAAGCTAAACTAGCAAACTCTGAAGAGCTGCAATGTGCTTCTAGCCACAAAAACCTCTCCAATCCCACAGAATTACGAAGCCAAAGTTCCTACAACGTCTTCTTCAATGTTCCCCTCTCCTTTTCTGGAATTGAGCCCAAGGAAGAGGTTGTAACCCTACATCAGCTAATTTCTAAGAGGATGCTTCTCTGTGATTGTAGGCACTGTTCAGAAGGGAGCTACTAGTTATCCGGAACTAGTCACTGCTCAATATCAAGAAAATCAAATTTCAGCTTTCTCCAGTACATACCTTGTTTTGATTCCTGACCTTCCAGTTTGTTGTCTTCTCTGAGGGAAGAAGTGGAGTCTATACTGTTGTCCTGTCTGGAAACAAATAAGAAGACATTTTAATTTATGTCTTTTACAGTTTAAGAGAACTTTTCTAAGAAATGTTTACTTTAAGTAAAGAAATTATGTGGTGGTAGACCGATAGGCCAAGTACAGTATGAATAAAGGCAAAAGGTACATACAGAGTGCCAACCCAAGCACTTGAGAACAAGTTTGTTTTGTTTTGTTTTTCTTCGCCCAGCAGTAAGCAAGGATAAAGTAACTGTTTCCACTACACCCTACCCTTTCAGAATAACAATCCTCGCTGGCAGCCCCTCCCTAATATTAGCAGCTCTTCTCTAAAACTCAGAATAAATTGTCACACAGTTAAATTATTTGAAACAAAATAAATTTGAAAAAACATAGTTTCAGTTGCATTGAAATAATATTTACTATTTTCTTTTGAAATGAAGAAGGTATTGTCATGAAGTTACCATCACCCCACCACCATCCACCTCTACTACATCACAATCTCATAGTTTCACAAGGGGACACTTCTTAAAACTAAATGCAACTCAACTGATAAACTGAATTCAGTATTTGCATTTCTCTATTTCTTCTAGTTCAAGACTTCTACCCTTGACCTGTGAGGTTTCAACTGCTTTATACAAAGGATAAGGAATAGATACTTTTGTGAAATGTTAATGTTTTTCACACATTTTGCATGTACTAGTTCTACAAACTGTGAAAATACTGTGCAATATACAGGAAGAAGGATGGCAGAATGACCCTGAATCGCAGGAAGAGTTCAATTGCCATGTTTAGCGAGCATTTTGACAGTAGAATTGCCAGTTTCCTACCCTGAATGTCAGTATGGCATTGTCTTCATACATATTAATATGGAATCAATGCAAGTATCCTGCCTGTGGGAGCTAAACAGCACTATAAAAAGGATAGCAGTATTCCAGTAACACAGATGTAAATATAATGACTTTAACAACTTGTTTTTCAGTAATGGCCTGAAGGCTTTTCCTAAAATTGAACACAGATTTATTTTCCCCATGCTCTCAAAGACATTTTTTTTCAGGCAACTAACGCCTATGTAGGAGGGAGAACACTATAATACTCCTAGCCATCTTGGTGCAAGACACAGAGTTATTTTCATCGCTGTTTCCTCTTCTGTAGTAGCAAAGGTTACAAATCAATAGACTCTTCTGTCTCTCCCACTTTTTGTACCCCTTGCAACATAAATGTGTACGGTAGCATGCAATAACTGACTAAGGAGAATGTGCAGCTGTTTTCATATGCATGCAGTACCTCAAAAAAAGATTTTTAAATGTTCTGTACCTTAAGTAAGGAAAGAGAAATGTACTGTCCAATGCCATTATAATAAACTGGGAATAGACAATTTACTGTGATGCATTATACTCTGAACTCAGTGGTATGTATCCTTTCAGTTTGCTTTCCTACTTGGTCAACTCAAGAATTATTCTCCCAACCTTTTAATTTCTGTTGGACTTTTCCTTCCCAGGCAGGGCTGAAAAGGAATGGATACAAACTGGATGTTCAAACAGTTATGCCAAGGAGGAAGTCCTGTATATACGGATAATCGCTTCAGAAAATTATTCAACATTTGCCTCTCTACAAACAAAGCCAGTTTGCTCATTTATTTTCTATTCCAGTCATCGGTCTTGCACTGGTCATCAGGCCAGAGGTGTTGCAAGACAGATTACAGCCCTCCCTCTTAGATGCAAAACAAGTCCAGGAATTCAACAAATAAAATTATGTCTGCTCTATGTGATGGTTTAGACATATTAACCAGAGTCTCAATCTTCCTTCTGTCATGGGGGAAAAGGAGAACCAAACTACATGACATTACATGTTCAATTTATTAAGTGGATCAAGCAGAGGATAGGCCGTGAGGTAAAGTTTTGCACTCATACACACACCCATACGGTCAGAGTCAACTGAGACGCACCCAAATCACCACTCCAGTGGTTTCCCAGGGGAAACATCCTCTCAGTACCAGGCTCCAGGCCACACCTTAGGACCAAACCCTAACTGGTCCTCTGCTTGGAGAGGATGCCAGACTCCTGGATAGCAATATTTCCTCACCCACCTCCATTACTGTGTGGGGTTAGCCATATGCCAGCACAGACCACCAGCTAAATCTGCCCATGATGCTGTCACAGCACACCTTCCCAGGAATTTCAGGTGTTGCTCTCCTGTCATTTAGCAAGGCTTATCACACTCAGTTATCCATTGCATTGCCCTGTCCAATAGGTTCTGCATTCAATGGTGAGTCACCATAAGCACCAAGACCCAGTGAAAAGCAGAGAAAAAACAGCAAGCAGAGGAACCCTAGTAACTTCATGAGTGCAGAGGGATCGCTCTGCCTGGGTTGCTCCTTGGGTTGTGAAAGGAGAGCAATCAGCCTGTTTTCTGGGAATGAAACCTAGGAAAAGCAGTCATCTAGAGAAACCACCTTATAGGCTGAAGGGTGTTACTGTATATGGGAGCAAGGGTGTCTGTATAGGATGCTGGGGAAGAGCATTTCAGGATTGCACTAAATGTACTCGCAAATGTTTTTTAAGAGGAGTGTAGGAACATGCAATGTTTAGAGGAAGAACCAAAGCTAGGAAAAGCAAGAGGCTGAGGCAGACTGAGAAAGAGCAAGCATGGGGAAAAACAAGAAAAAAAATGTAGATAAAAGGGCCAGCAGAGCATAAACAGGTTGCTGGCCAGTACATTTGTCTGGCCAGCCCCAGACCTGATCACTGCAGTCTGTCTTGCTTTCTTATTGAACTCTATTGCTGTACTAACTAGTTTTCCAAAATGAGAGGATACCAATCTCTGTATGTATGCACACGTGTGTGTGTGTGTCTGAGCACCAGCAACTGCACAGGTGACCACAGGTCATAGGGACCTGCAGTACTGTGCTGCCAGAAACTAGAAAGAATGAAAAATGTGCATACACTTCCTCATGGAACTTCAATGTCATGCATCAGTGTGTACGCAGATGCTTGTAATTCAACAGCAGACCTCAGGCTGGCCTAGCCAGCAAGTAAGGTGAGAGGTCTGGGCATCACATACCAAACAGACTGTAAGATCAGATGCCAGATTCCTGAAAGAGACCAGGGTCTGCAAGTAGACAAACTGAGGAGCTCTGCTAGATATCCAAGAGATCAACAGTCTGAGCATCAGCTACTGAGGACAACCATAGGTCTGCACCAGCTTTCAAAGGCGCCTGTGTATGCAAGGAGGTCTGAGCAGCAACTTGTGGGCTTGTATGTCCAAGTGCCAGCAACTGGGGAGAGCAGTGGATCTCGGACCAGCTACCGGTCAACAGACCTGGAGGAATACACCTTTTTTTTTTTTTTTTTTTAAAGCAACTCTTACGATTTGTCACTCAACTCAACCACAATAAGGTGATATACCCTGCCCATCACTAAGAGCAAAAGCTGCTTAGGGTGCCCCTACCCCATCTTCCCTCACACACATGCTTCATCACTTTGGACTGAGTAGTCCTCTCTGCACCAGACAGCAATGTGTCACTGGAAAAGTCTGATCTTGCACAAACAGTATTCAGGCAAGAAACTTCAAACCACTGGTTATAACTCTGAGCTCCAACACCAAATTTCACTAAGGAATTGTATCACCTCTTCAACAGAAAACTCAGAGTGACCTCTATGGTTCAAACACTGACTGTGAAATTACCTACACCTGTTTTAACAGCTATGTAAATAGAAATTATCAACTGAAAAAAATTACACATCAAAACTTGTTGTAAAGCTTCCTTCCATTGCCTTGCCACTATCACCGATTAGAGCAAACACGTGTTCCTTTAAAGACTACCTACTGTCAAAAAAAAAAGACTTTTTAGAACCCAAAAATACTTTTACAGCACGTTTTACCCTTTCAGAATTGATTGGATTGAACCTTCACTACTTCATTTCATAGGCAGGCATTTTGCACCATCTTGTGGCCAAGGAGAAGCATTTCAGTTCACAATTCAGTTTTGCTCTCAATTTGTCAACGTTGATTAATTTGTTTGTTAGTAAGAAATATTTTTTCCCTAATTATCTATATTGCAGTATAGATTTAAGAAAGCACAACATCATGTCTGCAAACAATGGGAGCAGAAGATACAGTAATGTAAAATTAAGGCACCACATACAAATTTAATACCCTCTTGTTTCATGCCATGCTAGTAAGCGTCCACAGCAATTTGGAGCTCCCTCTTTTTACCAGTCTTTAAAGATACTTCTCCCCCAGGATGACAGTTAAGTTCAAATTCACTCTTCCAAGAGATAAATTCAGCATATTTTTCTTTAAATACAACAACATCTGCACAGTATGTTCACTTCAGCAGAAAGACGGTAACTATTACAGTTTGTTAGTGACAAGTGCTGTAAATTTAAATTTGCCCTATGCTTGCTTTTCACGTCAGCATGCTCCACGCTAATGCAATGCTTACCTCGGCTCACAGACGTGGGTTCTGTACAGAACCTATTACTTTCAGGAATCTGCATAGCTGTCAAAGATATCTGGGTTTGAGGGTGATTTGGTACAACTACTCCTGCAGATTATGCAGAGTGAGGTAAGACAGCAGCACAGGTTAGGAAAATGGGTACTGGTCAGAGGAGTGCACAGCTAAGGATTCTGACAACAGCACTGCAATAATGGTGGCTGAGATTCCAAGCTTCAGTAATAACTGGGGTTGCAGACCCGCAGGAAAAGTTTTGTGACAGAAAAAAATAATATATTGGCCTAGAAGACAGTCTGACAATATGAGACACAGTCATGCTGATGCTTTCCTTACAGGGCTTTTAATTGTCATTAAGAAACATTCACCTAAATCTCTGGAGTGAGGTTTGAGATCAGTACCTCTATTACTCTTGACATAAAGACGATGTACCTTCCTAAATTAAAATTTCCCTTTGCACTTCCAACTCTAAAAAATATTTCTAGAAGTCCCAAGTCCTCATAAGCTTCCCGCAAATTTTTGTTGCAAGACTAGTTTTCCGTGACAAATGAGAACTAAAATAATTAACGGCGGGCAATTTGTTAAAAAAAAAAAAAAGTCCTTATGAAGTAGTACTCCTCAGGACAAAAATCCCAAACAACAGTTGCTAATCAAATAGTTTAATGCACTATGAAAGGTCCATCGGTCCGATTACAGGTGAAGTTTGAGGACACCACAAGAACAGAAGCTGAATGCTAATGTATCAGTTCAGTGACTCATGTAGCCTATTCTTTCAGTGATTCCAAATGGTGAAGATAACCAAATTGTCCTACAGGGGTAAATATCAGATGGCAATTGCATGCTTGTGAACAGACCAGTACTTGGGAGGAAAATACGTTAAAATAAGGCAAGCCTTTAAACTGATAACCTTTCTAAAACAAAACAAGCAAAAACCGCGCTCATGACTGCAAAGCAGTAAAAATCCTGGGAGCTCTTGAAAGTGCAAATACTAAACTGCAAATTTTCACACAGTGAAAAAAATAAGCACATTAGATTTTCAAAGCAAAAGATCATTTACTCACATTATACACAAGAACATATGGTCACTATAATGATATTAGCCTGCCTGTTCTTTTAATACATGTTTTATACTACAGCAAATAATTTACTTTCAGTCCTTCTGTTGTAGGGTATTTAGAGAGCCAATCCAGGGAAGAGGAAAGTAATAGCTCAAGAACATGCCAATACCCTTTGAATGAGGTGGGAAAATGCCTGCTTGCTTTTGCGGGACACTAACTGGCTAACTCCTTTCAATTAAACACCTGTCATTTAGTTGGAAGCTTGGTATACAGCAATTCTCTTAATGGTATTTCCATTGCAGACAGTAACAGAGAAACAGTAACAAAATTCTGAGAACCACAGTCAACAATCTACACAGCGCTCACAAATAATGAAGCATTATCTATTGTAACAGCAATTTCCCGTTATTGGCAAACATAGGCCCTGCTTCTTCAGTTCTTCTGCATGCTTATTCCAGGATTTCTAGTGTTTAACTCTGAAGAGGAGAGCGACAAAATACCACAGCAAGTGTTTTACATGCTAATGGAAGCATGCGAAGCTTTTACGGAGATGAAATTTAGGAAAATCCTGAGGACTTCGGCTTCTGGTGGCAGAATGAGGATATGTGCATCAGAAAAGGGAAGGTTCAATTTAAAATTACAGTACTGGTACCATCCAAAGCTTCAGATAAAGAGCCAAATTCTGCAATCCTCCCTGTATGTGGAGAAGCTTCTCTAAATCCCTGCTACTTTCAGATGGAACAGATAAGAAGCAGGTCTTTAGATACAGATATGTACTTGACTATTTTCAGAAAATAAAAAAAAAAAAAAGAAACGAAACAGTACAAACTATACCCTTCCTAGAAAGCCTGTATAATTTGATATTGTTGTAATTTCTTCAGCTGTACTGATTTGAGCTTTCTGGATTTCTACTGATACGTGGATATTGCTGAAGGGATAAGTGTCAATTTTAATTTTTTTAAAGTACAAGGATGAAAGAAACAGATGTTTCCAATCAGTTAACAATCTTCTGATTAGAGTAAGACTTGCTACTGACATTTTCCCTTCCCACCTTTACAAGTTCATGAAAACAACTAACACAAGTCAGATTTTAAATAAGAAAGCTTTAATGTTGCAACAGAATGCAGAAAAAAGTAGTCATTTATAAGAAAACCACAAGTAACGAAGATAAAATATGAAGAACCAACAGTGAGAATATAAACTTTTCATTCTGAAAAGTCTTTTCTCTTACCAGGGCAAACAAATTCACCCATTTAAAGTCAGACAATAATTAAAAACGTATTAATGATTACCAACAACCAAAGTTTAACTTCGCAATACAGTTTTCCCTATTTCTTCACTATTGCATCTTTAGCCTCCCTGCCTACTGACTGACTTGTTGGCATTCTGACTGAAAAAGTTTCCTGAAGTTTAGCAAACTTCCATTTATATTTATTTACACAGGTTGCAGAAAAGTGATCCTAAATACCCAAAGATCACACCTGTTTAGTAAAAAAAGCTTTTAACATTGTACAGCTGTAAAATCATAATATTGCTTTACTTACTGACCACCGGGCTTAAGGATTAACATAAAACCTTAGTTTTCCTTGTTTCACCTATTCCTTCCTATCTCTTTCTCTGTCATCCAAACAGCTCTTCCTTTTTGTTTTTTATTAAAGTTAGCACACAGCTAGGCTCTGATATAGCACCCATGTGTGTAGCATACTTTAACCCACTGCATTAAAAGGAGAAGAAAACCCACAATTCCTACATTGACATATCTTGCCTGGCCAGTTTGGAGGCGTTTGAAATATTAAAACTATCAGGATGGAGAAGAGAATCAAGAACCAGGGGCATCTCAACCATTATGTTTGTCAAAGGAAGCAAGCTGCTTTATAACTTTGATCAACGTCTCTCAGTTTCTTTTACTTTTTTTTTTTTGTAACCATAATTTCTTCTTGATTTTGCTGTCAATTATTGCTTCCATCTTTCTCATCAGTGACATTAAGGTGACCTAGCTTTGTCAGTTTTTGGTAAATGCACAATGGTTAAAGAACTTTGTCAGTTTTAATTCTGCTGTACTTCAACACAGCTATGAGAAAAGGCAGACCACACCAACTCACTTCTGTTTGCTCACTGCTTAGGCCTGGAATATTATCTGTACAGTGTAAAACCAGTAGACTTCCAACCTGCAATTTAGATCGTACAGATGTCATTTTCCTGAAACTTTCCTACTTGCCATGGGCAAATAGGTTGTTAAGTGTCTTCAGAGAGCCACTAGCTAAAAAAAGGTAAATCCTGTTTGTTTTCCTTGTTTTGTTGTTTTATTCATTAATTGATAATAACAATTTCCCCTTTTTAGGTAGGTCTTTACCAGCTCAAATCATTAGTGTATTTGCATATAAGCAGGACTTTATTCAATCTACTGTAGCTGAGGGTCATAAATATATGTCTCAACAGTAGCTTTGAAACACCTTGAGGCCACAGAACTACCTTCCTGAAATCTAGTAGCACTAATCCTGCCATACTTCTTCGAGATGAAGTACACTCCATGTATTTTGCAATAGTAACAAGCTTGTGAAGAAGGCCTTTAAAAAAAAAACCAAACTTATAATTCCTTCAGAAATCATAATCTCGGAGCATTTTTCGTGGTCTCCTCAGCCAACAAGTTTGTCTTCTCATTCTATTCAGAAGTTCACTGGCAAAAGATCAATCACTTAACAGAGACCTGATATCTAGTGTATTTTGTAGGTTTTGAATTTTTTAGTTTGCTTTTTTAAATAGCCGGCAGGGGGCAATGTCCAAAATAAGGCAATTAGTCCACATAAATAGGTGTACTGACACCATTCACAGGTCATGCGGGCAACAAATAGCTAGGGGGGGATACAGTCACAAATCAGCTACAAATGGAACCCTAGAAGAAACAGTGTCAGAGAGCATTACAGCTGTATCACATGAGAAAAACTGAAACGTCACTTAACTTAATATCACTCCGCTTTCTAGTATATTTGTATGATGTATGATGAGATGTGATCAAAGAAACTTACTTCATTCAATAACTTCATAATTTGTTCTGAATCAAAGACAGGATCAGAAACCAGGTTAAATCAAAAATACTGACTAGATGTGAAATTTTGATTACTATCACTACCTTTCCCATCCATGTGTTCTTATTTAGTAGGTCTAGATGAACTAACCAAACCAGCAACTATGAAGTACTTTAATCTGCCCAACACTGCTGTATTGTATTGTCTTGTATTGTCTCAGAGGTATATTAAGTTTGTGCACTGCATCTGTGGACCAGATGTAATCAGGTCCACAATTAAAACAGGAAAGCTTTTTATTTTGTCTTCTACAAGCAAGTTAATCTCATAAAAGTTGACACATTGTGGGTGACAACTACTAACTTTCTTTTCCCCTTCACGACCTCCATAGCAACTGTCAGAAAGAGTTCACCCATTCAACAAAGTGGCCCAGTAGTATACTACACAAGTCTTTAAAAAAAAAAAAGTCAGATTTCCCCTGCAGACAAGTATTTTAAGAAAAGTTTAAAAAGCATTGGCCTTTACGAAACTGACAGATGCCAACCTAAGAACAAGAAACCAGACGCCTCCGTTCTTGAAACTCTAGACATTCTACAACAGAGAACAAGGGAACAGGCAAGTGCCAGTGCAGGAATGAAGGACCAGAAACAAGAGAGGAAGAGAACGGATACCCCTCAGCTGAACTAACAGTACACAATTCACTGTCCTAAGTGGGAAGGGGTTACTCGACCTGCTTTAGCTCACTTAAAGAGGGTTAACCTAAATCTTATTACTTCGCTTCTGCTGCAGCCTAGGAGTGTGCACATGTTCAGTTACTAGAATCCAAGTGATGGGCAGTAACACCACTACAAAACTGTTATGTGCTTAAGACATACTTAATGTTATAAACTGACAAAGCCACGTTTAGAAGTTTAGTGCTTGCTAGCAGTCACAGCTAGTTGTCATTCAACTGAAGCAATCTCATAATTAAGGATATAGCAAGCGGGTCTTTCAATGTTGCATTTTATAATTGCTCATGAAAAATCCCTGTGTTGTTCAGTATTCTTAAGTTTTAAAGCGTTTTGTCTTTTACTCACTGACTGACTGATTCACCTCCAGTCTTGCCTCCTCCATCTGTCTCCTCGTCAGTATCAGAATCAGCTCCAATCTTGCCTAGATATACACAGTTTCAAACATGAATATTTAAGCAGGTAATATAATTAATGCTATATAGTTAGGCTTACTAGTAATGATTTACAGTATTGCAATCAGCAGAACAAAGGTTTTTCTTCCTAAAGCAGATGTTCTAAAATTAGACTTAGTCAAAATCAAAAGCTTTATTTGTGAGTTTTCTGCTAGCCACATGGCTGGCATTTTTCAATTACACTGTATCATGAAAAAAATAGAATAGCTACTGCTAGCACAATACTACAGGCACTAAAGCACAGGAGACAGAATTAATAGAAGGTCCTCCGCAGCATTCAAGATTTCAAGAGTACCACTTCATTAAGATGACAACAGTGTTTACAAATAAATTCTACAGCCCTTAAATATCAAGTGGAAGTTCAATAAGATATTGAAAAGTTGGAATGTCATATCCTTAATCAAAGTACATGAACTGTGTGTCTCAGCAGAGCAGAGGGATCCACCAAGAATCCTTTAACTACACCAGATACTCTAGTGCATTTGCTAATACAATTGAACTATTATTGAAATATGTCAGATTTCCCCTGCAGAGAACCACAAGGCAACTTAATGTGAGTTTACCTAAAATAATGGATTTCAAACAATACTCCTATAATCCTAGCTTTGCTTCTTCCATTAAGTCAAAAGCTTTGTTCTTAGTTTGGGTACTAAGAAAAAGCAGCTTATACTACTGTTTTCTGAGTGTGTCCCTAATAACTTCTAAATCAATGGACCATTTCATTCAAGCTTAAAAGATCAAAACCAAAATATACATATACACGCACACATATGTGTATATATACTAATACACATTTATATACTAGTGGCACGCGTATATATGTAATACTAATACATATATGTATATACATGTACGTGTGTGTGCATATATATATACATAAAAATAGCTAGAAATGGAATGAAAATCCAGTTGAGAGGCAGCCTATTCTCTGGTGTGCAGGGGTGCCTAAAAGTTTCATCCATACCTTCAAGTATCTTCAACAGTTTTTTTTCAGATAACAGCTCCAACTGCTCCAAGCAAAGCCTTTTGATTTCGTCCATGGAACAATTCTAAGAAGACAGATAAGACAGACCACCAGCTACTAAGAATTTCTGAGGACAGAGTAATTACGAATGGTAAGTAGTACTCCAACTGTACTGAATGAAAAGTTGCAAGTCCCTTCCCTATCCTGACCAGCTTTGATGCAACTGCTGAAGAACACCAGGTAGGCGTTTCAGTTTTGACAACTACCAGATATAGTGTGTGTTTTTTTCTGAAAAATTAGTCAATACATACTACCAGTTACTTGACCTACGGCTTAGAGTTTTCACTGCAGCTGCAACACTGAGTAGTAGAAATACTGGGCCGTGTGTGTGTGAAGCACGGAACAGCAACCAACTGTAGCTCTGATTACTCCTTATTCTCCATCACTCAGGAACAGGTGGATTACATAGTTAAGGTGACCAGAGCCAACTGCTGAATCCAAGATCACAAACTGAAGCAAACACTGCTATTGATAACACACTAACTATTGTATACCATAATAAAGAAAACATAAGGAATATGTAATCCATTTCTCATGCTTGACACATACCACATGCTGCCACAGACTTTATGAGTATTTCACTTACCTCCACATCTTTTATACTACTTGGTGTCTCTTGGTAATATCATGTACAAGCACCAGAACTAGGAAGTATTGAGCACATTGTAAAATTCGTAGCCTTACTGTAGCTTTGGTTCTACAACACCAGGCAACTTCCTTTCAAACTCAGTAACGCCTCTGCCTCCAGCTGCTCCAGACCTCTTTTCTTCTCCAGAGAAACAGATGAGACTATATGCAATTCACTACGTGTTTAAAATGAAGAAGTCCTACCTCACTTGTATGAATGATATGACTCAAAAATTGAACACAGAATTTTAAAAACTATTTAACAAGCATCACACAAATGGCACTTCACCCGCATCCTCTTCTTCTGTACATGCTGCTAGACTCATTTATTTTTACCAGGTCCTGCAGTTCACAAGACTCAAAAAGCCTATGTTTTAAGCCAGTAAAACTCTATAAATACTGCCACTAGAGTCCATAGAAGTTACAGCTTCAGAAGCTGTTTATCAAGAAGGGGTTTTACCGCCTTATCTCAGACATTAATTTAATACCATACAGAGAAATTCAGCTGACACAAATAGAAATCAAACTTTTATTAACATATCAGCATATTTATTAGGGAACAACACTCCTGAATTTACTTCATGCAATTCTGAAACTCCTTTTGCATTTAACTAAACCAGTACAGACAGACAACACAAAAATAAGCAGCCTGCCACTAAGCAATGGCTAAGCAGTGGAAAAAGGAGTAAACTGGAATAACTATATCAAATCTTTAAAAAGTCTCACTTTCAGAGACTTGATGTTTATTTAAGAAATACACAGGCAGCTTTTAAACTCGAAGTCCACTAGACTTGAGAGATAGATACGCTTAATTACACAAGCATTCCAGCTTGTAAGAAGTATACAAACAGTAAGTGTATTTCAGTACCTTCAAAATATCAGGCAGCATCTTCTGTAGTTTTTTCTCCCCTATGACACAGAAACACTGTTGAAGCATTTCTTTTTTGTCTGCGATGTAGAAACTGACAGGTTTGAGTGACACACTGAGATCTAATCCTCCTTCTTCTACATCACTGGGTTGTTCAGCTTCTTCCACTTTTTCTCCAGACAGCACATTGCATTTTGCTTCCTAAAATCAAGGAGGGCAAACACAATGTTCATGTTTTCTAGCGAACCAGAGAAGAAGGAAACTTGCAACTTCTTCTGGTTGCAACAGTTTTCCCTTCATAATTGCAAAGTAAATCTTAAGGTGGACTTCTGACCTTCCACATAATGTTTCAGCTTGCAACATTAACTGCATTACAGAAGCTATATTTTTGGTTACAGAAACCATTCCTATGCCAGGGGAAATTTTAAAAGCTTCAAGAGGCAAAAAGTACTTTTAAATATTAACTAGGAAATATTATCTGCAAATACCTATCTGCTGCTTATACTTGAAAGCATGCTTTAAGGCAGAAGAAATCCATTTCTGATCTGCTGTGTAATTAAATCACTCATCTCATGAGTTATAGCTACCCTGCTAAGGAAATTAGTTCCCTGCGTGGGATGGAGTCTTCCAAGGATAAAAGTGAGCTTCGTACCAGAAAATATATCTTCCATACATCAGTGGAAGTCCTCTACAGTTAATGAAAAAAAAAAAAAACAACAAAAAAAAAAACCCCAACCAAAACAAACAAAAAAGAAAACCAGCTAGTAATACATTTTGACAGCCCCACAATTCACTCAGGAGCGCGTGTCACGCGAATCTCTGTACAACGCCTCCTAGAACAGGGTCACCATCCCACGAGCACGGCGATGGGGGTCACCTCTGCGCTTGTGCCCCACACCTCTCACACCCGGGGAAACACCGACCCGCCTCCCCAGGACGCGCGCGGGG